GAATAACAATCTCGCAAATAGGGAACTCAATGTCCAGTTTGAAAACACTACTCTCAAACATAATAAAAACCCAAAGTACCTAGGTGTTACACTCGATAGAACACTTTCGTTTAAAGAGCACTTATCAAAAACAGCAGAGAAGTTGAAAACAAGAAACAATATAATACAAAAATTGTGCGGGACATCTTGGGATACTTCATTTTCTAGAGCTCTGGGCTCTGGATCTCGTCTAGCTCTGTGTCTCGTCTACCCAGCTGCCGAATACTGTGCTTCGGTATGGTTAGGTTAGGTCCACAAAATAGACGCACAGCTCAATAATACAATGAGAATGATTGCTGGTGTTATTAAATCCACACTCACAGAATGGCTTCCAGTACTGAGTCACATCCCACCCCCAAGTCCGCATACACGCTCTGTATACTGGACAACAGAGAACTACCGATCCATACAGACATCGAGGATGTGAACCACAACCGCCTCCGATCCAGAAAAACACCCACCAAAACCGCACTAAATATAACTGAAGACGAATCGAGCATCACCGACGTTTGGTACCAGGAATGGACGTCGAAACAAAACTGACATGCCATGCATCACCAATCCACCACTAGGTTTTAACCTCGGTTTTGACTTACCAAGGAAAACCTGGTGCACGCTAAATAGAATTAGAACGCAGCATGGCAGATGCGCCTATACTTTACACAAATGGGGCAAAAGTCCAAGCCCCTCCTGCGAGTGCGGCAAAAATCAGACCATCAAACATATCGTGAAGGAATGTATAACGTTATATACTTTTATATATAAGAGTTTATTTTTTTTTCTTTTTCTTAAACCTTTAAATTATATCATATACAGTGATGGACATAAGTATGGAAAGATTTTTTTTCTAAAATATTTTGTGTAACTTTCTTTTTAAACTTATTTTAAATATATTAAATGAAACAACGTTTTGTAATTTATGGATATTTAGTTTTAATTTTCAAAAATAATTTCTTATTTTTCTTTTACTAAAAAACATAAAAATTACTGTGGACAAAAGTATGGAAAGAAAATGTTATAAAGAAACAAATCCTAAAATCTAATATTTAGTTTCGTAACCTTTGGCCTGAAGGACTACTTTACATCTTCTTGGCATGGAATCCAGAAGGTTTTGACAAATTTTGCAAAAGAATGTTCTGCCATTCATCTTGGAGTATTTCCCACAAATCTGTTGCATTGTGAATAGCCCTTAATCGAATTTTTCTTTCTAAATGCTCCCAAAGGTGTTCAATTGGATTTAAGTCTGGCGACTGAGAAGGCCATTCCAAAACATCCACGTTTGCCTCCACAAACCAATTTTTTACCAATCGTGACGCGTGTTTGGGATCATTGTCCTGCCGGAATCTCCATATTAGGGGCATCTCTTCTTCGGCAAATGGTAACATGTTATTTTGAAGAATGTCCCTGTACATAAAGCGATCCATTTTTCCCTCTATACTACTATATCTATATATATACTACTATATCTATATATCTATACTAGCGGACCAACCCCAGCTTGAGAAAAGCACCCCCAGATCATAACACTACCACCACCATGCTTTACTGATGGCTTCTGGTACTTTGCATCATATCTTTTACCTACTGGCCTTCTCACAAATGATTTACCATCAGAACCAAATATTTTAAATTTACTCTCATAGCTCCAGAGCACTGTGTTCCAATTTTGAGATGTCCAATTTAAATGGTTTTGAGCACACCGAATTCTGTTCTTCCGATTTCATTTTGAGAGCAAAGGTTTTTTAACGGCCACTCTTCCCAGAAGTCCTACCTCACACAAGCGTGCGATCAGTAACATTGATATTGAAATTGTCACAGATTTCCTCTTTTATTTGCCGAGAAGATTTGTGTGGGTCTGCTAGAGAAATCTTTTTAATGGATTTTTCTATAAAATGGGTGGTTTTTCGGGGACGATTTTGGCCGGTTAGTTGTAGCTCCAATGTTCGATACTTTTTTAAAATTTTCGAAACTGCTCCTTCTGAAATCATTAATGATTTGACAATTGTACACTGTTTAACACCTCTATTTTTTAACTCTATAACTCTGTTGCGTAAGTCCTCAGACAAAAACTTATTTTTACCCATTTTTAACAATATGTTGCTTGCCTTTGCAATAAAATCAAACTAAACAAATCGATCACAACAGCAAAAATATGAACAAGAAAAAGCTTTCCATACTTTTGTCCGAAGCGTAAACAAAATATGTTGGAAAAAATAAACAACGTAGATAGAATAAAAAACTATCTTGTGAATATTTGATATATTTATGCGGTTGTTAGCATACGAAAATATTTAAGCTGTATTATTTGTTTGAGCGAGATAAAATAGGAAATAAAAAATCTTTCCATACTTTTGTCCGCCACAGTATATATTTTTTTCCTTTCTTGGGTATGAGGTTTTAATTGAAAATGGAAACTTTTTTTTTATTATGCGACGTTTCGCCTCATCATGGTGGGCTTTCTCAGGCACTTTATTCTTGAAGCCGCCAGTCTATATAGAAGCCGCCATTCTCTACCACCAGTCTATATAGAAGAATGATGATCATATATATAGAAGAATGATGAGATCATTCTTCTATATAGACTGGTGGTAGCAAGGCGGCTGCGGCTTCAAGAATAAAGTGCCAGAGAAAGCCCACCATGATGAGGCGAAACGTCGCATAATAAAAAAAAAGTTTCCATTTTCAATTAAAACCTCATACCCAAGAAAGGAAAAAAATATATATATATGATATCTTTTATATATATACACTTCCCCAATAAATTAACGCACCACAAAAAAATAACCAAAAGTTTAAGTTAAGTTTTTGTCAAAACCACTTATCCGATTTGAACGATTTTTTTTTGAATGATAGGTTATTCTTTCCACAATGTTGCTATACTAACTGTATTTTGATAGGAACCCTTTTTATACCGTATGATCGAAAAAAATGGCGTCCAGTTGACTTGGAAATGACGATCGATGACATTTTCATCATACGTTTACATATAAAATGACAGCAATCTTCATTTCATAGCCATCGCTGACGCCGTTTTTATTCGATCATACGGTACTAATACCGGGTGTAGCAATTATAACGTGTTTTTTTAATAAAATTTGTGATACCCTGTAGAGTTGATTAGTTAAAGTATCAAGTTAAAATTGAAATCACATTTTAGCCTTATCTTTTTTTTAGATTTTGTTTTTTTATTTACTCCATTATCTTCCTTATTACACGAGAAACAACATTTTATAGGACGACATGATTTAATATTGGTTTTAATTAACATTTTTCCATTTTACTCACTAAAGTAAGCAGCAAGCTATGGAAAAACACGGATTACCAGTAAATGTCAAATAGAGATGCTTGTTGTCAGTGTCAGTCGTTTTCGTCCTTTTATTATATCAAAAATATGCAACGTGCACGTGAAACAAGAAATCTTACTGGCGAAGAATGTAGTCAAGCATTAATATTGTCTGAGGAAGGTTGGAGCTACCGAAGAATTGGTGAACGATTTAATGTAACTCACTCAACCATTTCACGAGTTATACAACGGTATAGAGATACTGGGAGTAATTGTCGCAGGCCGGGACAAGGCAGGAATCGAAAAACCAATCCGATTCAGGAACGTTTTTTAAAACTCTCAACATTACAACGTTTCGTAACAGCTCGGACCCTTCAAACTCAGCTCAGAGAGCTCAGCAACAAGTTTCAGCCCAGCTACGAGTTTGCACAGAAACTAGCATCTCTATTTGACATTTACTGGTAATCCGTGTTTTTCCATAGCCTGCTACTTACTTTAGTGAGTAAAATGGAAAAATGTTAATTAAAACCAATATTAAATCATGTCATCCTATAAAATGTTGTTTTTTAAAAAATTTTAACTTGATAAAAATTTTTTAATTTGATACTGTAACTGATCAGCTCTACAGGGTGTCACAAATTTTATTAAAAAAACACGTTATAATTGCTACACCCGGTATTAGTATAAAAAGGGTTCCTATCAAAATACAGTTAGTATAGCAACATTGTGGAACGAATAACCTATCATTCAAAAAAAATCGTCCAAATCGGATAAGTGGTTTAAACTTAACTTAAACTTTTGGTTATTTTTTTGTGGTGCGTTAATTTACTGGAGAAGTGTATATATCCTTTATAACGTCAGACGAGATTTCCTACTGGCAACTGCAGAATCAATAGATTATATTAATTTGTTAAATGTTCGTTTGTATTTTTTTTTCTTTCTTTTTGTCATATACGTACTTTGTATCTTAATACGCCATACGCTAAATAAATAAATAAATCAATAAATTAAAATGGTACACTTCCGCAAGAAGTTTTTTGCGTGTCTATGTTTAGAAAAACTTCTAGAATGAAAAATAGTGAATCGTGAAACAGAAACGTGTTTTATGTAACTGGTTTCAGTTATTCGAGAGTTGAAAAACTGAAAATTATGCATTTCCGCAGAAACATTTTTGTGACTTACTATTTTGAAAGGCTTCCAAGTACTAAATAAACAAATATTTCTTAAGGTGCGTATTCATTATCCGAACGAACGAACGAACGAATGAAAGTGCGGTATATTTAGACGGGGACCGAACGCGTGCGGCCGTTCGTTCGTTCGTTCGCTCGACCATCCGTTTCGAGTCGGTACATCAAAGGCGTTCGCGTCCAGTATTCTCGTGCGGTTCTATCGTACGGTCCCCGTCCATACCACTAGCGAACATTCGTTCGTTCGTTCGTTCGGATAATGAATACGCACCTTTACATAACTGATTTCAGCTAAACTAAAGTAGCCCTGATTTCAGCAATTCTAAAGAAGTTTCAAAGGAATATATATATATTTCTAAACAAAATTCAAAAATTCTAAAATTTTCAAAAAATTTAAAAATGAGAGATATCGGTACCTCTGTTACCGAGTACCTACCTTATTTTATAACAAATCTTTCTATAAGAATATTTAGTAAAAAACAACCACTTACCCACATGGGATCTGGATGATCAGATAGTTCTTTAATTTGTCTATCAATAATAGTTTTGTCCTTATCGTATGACCTTTCTAGAAAAACAAACTCAGCAAATTTCCATCCCCATCCCAATACTGGCATATACTGTATTACTTTCTTAGCATATGCTTTACAATTCTAAAAAGTAAAATCAAAATAAATTAATAAAGTAAAAATATAAAATCAAAAGGAAAACATGATGACAAAAATGGGACAAATATATTCAATTAGACAAAACATTTGCAGCTTTTATCATTTTAGATGTCCAATCGTTAAAAAACTGTTCAGCTTTTAAACCTATAAATAATTGAATACCTAGCCATGTTCATACCACAGCCAATACATTTATGATCATCGTGGATATCTGCGTTCCTATAGGCTTGGTGCATTTCAGTTGATTTCAAAAACAGAATAACAGAAATCAGAAATTTTCGCTATGTATTTCAAGCCGTCCCGGTTACAGTTCATGTTGATTGCATTAAAATAATATTGAAATCGTAGCTTTGTCATAATATTTAAGTATTTTAGTTTTTTGCTAGTGTAGTTATCTATACTAATATATAAAATCCTTAAGTGACTGACATACTGATTAATCACGATCCTGCTCAAACCACTCAACGTAAGAAGCTCAATTTTGGCATAGAGGTTGATTCTAGGGTGTAGAGGTTCGATAAGAAGGGATTTTTCGAAATTCCAGTTCCAACAGGGTGAAACCACCTCAAATATTACAATATTTTTTATTTAAAAAACGGTCAAGTTTCCGAAAAAACGCTTAAACACGTATATTTTATTTTGTTTTTTACATATTTTAAGATTTTTTAAAAATGTATACAGGGTGTTTCGAAAAATCTGGTCATTGATTAATCACGATCCTGCTTAGGGCTCGAACACACTGACGACCAGGTCGCACCGGCCAGGCCGCAGCTACCTCTAATACCATTAAATCAAATGATATAGCGCACACTAACGTCCTGGCCGTCCGTTGGTCGTTGCGACCAGAAGACTGCACGGAAATATTATTATTTTCTGCCGCTTGTTGCCGGTTTTCTTCCAAATTAATATTTTTTCAGATGAAATCCCTCAAATTCAAGGCACAATATTTTATTTTCTATAAGATATAGTGTTTTAGTGTAGTTTTTGCACACGTGCGGAAAATCCAAAGAAATAGTATACAGACTGGATCAAAGGTAAACTTAAATCTAGTCCCTTTTTTATCAAGGGTCGATTCTAGTAAAAACTCAAAACATTTTTATATGACATACTGTGACATACCTACTCTATTTATGGTTGGTTTGATACCTGTTATTATACCTTTGAGTTTCGATGTTAAAAAATAAAAAAAATAATATTTAAAGTATTTCTACAACCACTTTTTTACAGTATTTCTACAACCAACCGTTTTTTTTTATTAAATTAGTTTTTTTTTTTGGGTTTTTTATTTGGGACACCCTCTATATTTTTAATTAACTGAAAATAATTTAAAATTATCTTTCCAAAAATATAGCATACTTGATGTTTTGTTATAATTCCCTTCGAAATTCAGAATTTTTAAAAGTTCGCTACTTTTAACTAGTAGGCTTTGGACCCCTTATTGATGATATGCCCTTAATGAAACTCGAAAACATATTTTTCCAGCAAGACGACGCACCGCCTCTGAACGCTGAAGTTATCAGCAAATTTTTGCAGCGAATTTCAAGAATAATTGAATAGCCAACCAAGATCCCAGCCGTTGGCCGTCGAGGCCGCCTGACTGGGGCCCATGGATCTAATCTTATGGATATATTTGCGGAAGAATAAAGGTTCCTTATTCTAGTATAATCTAGACAAGAATTAGAAATACTTAGCAGTTATGAGAGGGTATCTTTCACCCCCACTGAGTTAATGAATTCCGCGAGAAATGTTCAAAAACTGTCCATAACAGAAGACGGTCGATATGTCGAACACTTGTAGCAAAATCTCATGTCTTGGTTTGCTATTTATTTTTATTGTTATTAGATAGAGTTTAAATGTGTTGATGTTGGTTAAATATATTTTAAATTGTTATAAAATTCTGCATCTGTCATAGTAAATATTATTTTCGTTTCAACTGATGCTCACAGCTAGATTTTTTTTGCATTACAGCCGCTGCCGTTCAAAGCCTACTTATTTAAAGCGGCCGAATTTTTATATACTCTATATCTCGAAGAGGAATCGAGCAAAATATCAAGTGTGTTATATTTTTGGAAAGGTAATTTTAAATTATTTTCAATAAATTAAAAATATACAGGGTGTCCCATATAAAAATCAAATTCTCTGTTGATAATTCTTAAATTATTAATTTTAAAAAAATTATACTTAAACCATTAAATTCTACGTAAAAAGGTGCTTTGGAAACGTTTTCATAAAAACACAAAATTTTCCATAGCAAAAAATTTACAGCGATTTGTTAAAAATGCATATTTTTGAAAAACACCCCGTAACTCCGAAACGGTATCAGATATCGATTCACCATCATGTTTTTGACAAAAATTGAGCTCCAGACACCGATATTAGTTTTTGTCTATCTCCTATAGAAAAGGTTGTTTCCATTTAAAAGCGTCGAATTTGACCCACCCTGTACAAGGAGGACAACTGTATTTTAAATATTATATTTAATTTAACGTTTTTCAAACAGGGTTAATTAGACTATATTTCTACTAGGTACATTATTTTGAAAAACATTAAGAAAGTAACTTAAACATTCATAAAAATAGAAGTAATTACTGTTGTAGATTCTTCGTTATATTGTAAACATTGAAATAACTGGAAGCTAAACTTTCTACCTGCTTATATTTAGAGCCAGTGTCTGACGATCTATTTTTACGATGGCCCTAATATGTTTACTTCCAAAGTCGATAAGGGCGCCATATCAGTAGAAAAAAGAAACAGAATATCTCCCTTTTTGTCGGTCGCGCGTACACAATGCTTTTTGTTTGTTGTGAATAGCAACTTCGCTTTTTAGTTAACTCGGATATTTTAACATTTCTGAAACAATATTTTCTATTTGGTAAAACGTAAAAAATCGTTAGATTTGACAACTCTGTTGAAACTGGTCGTTCATCTGGCCGCAGCTAAAAACGCAGTACATCCCAGGTGGATGACACTTCTTATGGGAGAACTGGAAATGGTTGAAAACTTGACTACAAGCGATTTTCTAGGAATCTTCCTTACCGATAAATTATTGACAAGAGTGACAGATAAAACCTTGACATTCTTTCAGTATAACTGTTCATCTCTTTTTCTTTCTAAAGTGTGCCTTGAAAGGAGACAAAAACAATTTTTTGTAACCCATAATTTGTTATTCGAAAACCACTTTTCTCCTTGTCGGGTCGTTGACGTTGACTTGTCGCCATTTATTCTTTTGTTTACACGCTGCAGTTTGCTTTGTAAATTGAATACATAAATTATTTAGGCAAATATAGGTTTTTGATAAAACTCCTTGGACTAACGTGTAGGTAAGTGTTGATAAATAAGTTTTTTTTCATCTTAACATGCTCATTGTCATTCTCCTGATTTAGGTGACAGAAAAGGATCATCAAATGAAATTGAATTTTATATTTTTTCATCCCAGGACCGATAATAAAATATATATTTTATGGATACCTTCCTAAATATCAACGAGATGAGCCATCGGAAGAAAGGGACCATAGTACAAAACAGAAAGGTGATCTTTTTTCTTTCCACTTAGGATATTGAAATTATTATATACTGTAGTCGTGTTTGGCATTATGCTCTTAGAAATATAGGTAAACAAAGAAGAACAGATATAAAGCATCCCAGAGGAAAAGAGAGGCAATACCTGTACTCTCTCTCTGATATTTGTGAAAGTTACGGCAAAGTATTGTTGTAAATGTCATCTTTTTAATCGACCTGAAAACTTCGAGCAAAAAGATGACACTTTCAACAAAACCCTGACAGATATCAGAGACGATACAGGTTTTTCCTCTCTTTTTCCCTGGAATACTTTTAATTTATTATTCTTTGTTTATCTAGATTTCTCAGAGCACTATGAACGAACTCAGCTTGTATGTTTGAAATAATCGTCCAGTTGGCTTCAAAATGATGATCGATGACATTTCCTATATAATTTTACTTTCAAAATTATGATATATATCGTCATTTCTAAGCCATCTATGACGCCATTTTTTTCAGTTTTGTTATAATTAATTTTGTCTCTTGATCTACTTGTAACATTATTTTTTAATTTTATTAATTTATTGTGGTGAAATTAATTTCTGTTGTATATTTGATATTGATATTAAACATATTTTTAAAAAATGGTGTATTTTTTGTGTTTTTATCTATGTCATAATTAAAAATAAATGAAGAATTAAAATTTTTTATTTTTTTAAACTTCCCGCCATGCGTTACAATCTAGTCCGTAGTTCCTACAAGCGATATTGGGGGCGCTAGTAGCAGTAGACTTGTCAACAGTGTCAAATTTAAACGTCAATTTCACTTTCCAATATTTAGCAAGGCGCTCGCACTTCTCCTTGTGTATGTGTTTTGTGGTACATCCGGCCAGCCGACGGCTAGGTCGTTGCGACCTGGTCGTCAGTGAGTTCGAGCCCTTAAAGCGCTTGACGTAAAAAGCTGATTTTTGGAAAACAGATTGACTTTAGGGTGTAGAGGTTTCATAAGAAGGGATTTTTCGAAACTCGAATTCTAAAATGGGGTGAAACTATCCCTGAAATATTAAAATATTTTTTATTTAAAAACCGGTGAGTTTTTCGGAAAAACTCTTAAATACGTATATTTTATTTTGTTGTTTTACATATTTTAAGATTTTTTATAAATTTATACAGGGTGTTTCATAAAATATGACCATTGAGTAATCACGATTTTGCTTAAACTGTTGACGTTTAAAGCTGATTTTTGGCAAACGGATTGACTGTGGGAGGGGTGTAGAGGTTCGATAAGGAGGGGTTTCTCGAATCTCAAATTCCAAGAGGGTGAAAGCGCCCCTCAAATATTACAATATTTGTTATTTAAAAACGGTTATTTTTCGGGAAAACGCTTGACAAGCATAATTTATTTGGTTTTTTACATATTTTGAAATTTTTTAAAAAATCATACAGGGTGTTCCAAAAAGTTGGGTAATTTTTTAACCACGATTCTGC